AGGAGGGAGCGTGCAGGTCCTGCCATTGTCCTTCCCCTTCCAGAAGATGATCACACTAATAGAAGGAAGCAATCACAGCCCCATTGTCCAAAAGTTACTTTTCCCTTGTTTTAGAAAAGGGTTTTATAAATCTATGGAATGCCTATGTAAAATCTGTAGAATTTGCATGACACAAGAAAAAGTAGTTGTAAATCTACCTTGAATCTCTAGGACAGGCGGCTTGTGTGAGATAGCCGGTTTCTCTACCTTTACTTGGATACTTTCTTGCCTCAGGAGACTAGTATGTGTTTGGATTGAGACGCCCTCCTGCCAGGCTTCAAATTAGGTGAGACTGGTAAAGTAAATAAAAGGTAATGGATTGTGTCCATACATGACTTCATTCCATGCTTTGAATGACTTTATCGATAACTACAAAGCGGCAATCATCATGTACAATATGTGCCTCTGGGTATGGAGAGCTGATTTGATTTCCTATGGTGTTCGAGGTGTGCGAGAAGAAAACCTTCCCTTCACCATCAGTTACGTCTAGCGTAGTTTTTACGAAATGATTAATGTCTTCTTTCTCTCAGCTCATGCTGCTAATTATACCCAAGCTTCGTGAACTGTCGTACACATTCTCCCACAGGTAGGAGCGCTCTTGGACTCACTGGAGTGGTTCATCAGGCTGGATACACCATGCTTTCATTTCTCCCCATGGTCAATGTTTGTTTTCCCCATATTAAATTTCTCCTGCTTTGCCATGAACTTGAATTTAAGGACTTCATTTAACTGAGTGTTGGGGTGGAATACGGATGGAAGGGTGTTTTTAATAATATTTTACCAAACCTAATTTATGTCTGTTTTTTTTTTTTTCCAGTACAATTTCCTATTTCCAAAGCTGCTGCTAGTTGGTAGAATTTAGGATTTATGGTTACCCTGGAATACTAAGAGAAAGAATTAGGCATTCTATTTGCAGAGCATCTTTTATTTAGCTGTTCTTCCCAGTTAGATGGGGAAATGACTTGCTTTCCATGCCTTGATTGTTGTTCATTTCCTGACATCTCACTGCCCCCTGCTGCCACATGCAGTGAGTGCACCCTTTTCTGCAGACAACTCGCAGTGTGCACCAGGTCCATTTCCTGCTTACCTGGGTTTGGGCAATGTGTTTAGACACTAAATCACAACTCTGACAAAGTTCCCCTGGTTCCTATTTTGTCAAATAGATTCAGTTTCTTGAGCAGGCATGTGATGGTCAAGAGTGTAGGTGGGAAACTGGGCCTACGTTGGACTCTTAAGATGCCTTCAGATGGACACATATGACCTGGGTGCCCACTGGATCTCATAGAGATCTCGTAACAAATCTGGACCTGCTCCAGCCCAGACAGACTCTCATTGTGACCTCAGAGATCCCAGAAGTTTCAGAATGAGGGAACTTCAAAGAGACCATGAAAAGAGTGGAACTGAAGCAGGAGTTTGTTTTGGTGCAAAAAAAAAAAAAAAAAAAAAGGAAAGAAAAGAAAGAAAGAAAGAAAGAAATGCATAGTTTTTTTTTTTTAATTAATACTCATTCTCCATGAACTCTTTGAAGACCTCTTGTCTAGTCTCACAGATCAAAGGAGTGATCTTGTATTAACATGTGTCCTGGAGCAGGCCAGTCCTATAGTTCAGCAGTTAAGGGAGCCAGGTCCCACATGACCCACGGCAGTTTGATTCTTGGCCCCCATGGCTTGAAAATCACACTGGGCATGTGTGCTACTCCCAGAATCTTGATGGTATGAAAGAATGGGAGAAAAAGAGTTGCAGTGTAACCACACCTCACCAGAGGGTACTTTCTCTTGAGCACCCCCTCTGACAATTTTTTTAAAGAAAGAAAAAGAAAAAGTTGTATCCTGGAGCAATGGAATAAGAACATTGGTTTTCAAGAGGGAAAACTTTGGGAAATGTTTTTAACCTCTGATCCTTTATAAAACTATCAGTTAAAAAAGAATTATACTATGTTCTAAAGTTTTAATAAATATTCTGTTTTTAAGGCTGTATACACTTTACCACGTAATATAAATCTTTATTCATTTTCTTATAGTCAAAGTCATCTATTAGGTACAATTTAAAGATTATGGAAAGGCATTCTGACCCCAAAGAATTGCTCTCAACGCTGTTGTGAAATGATCACGATTATCACAAAGTCATGGGCCTTGTAGGTGGTCTCCATGAGATTCTGCCAGAATGACCTTCCACAAGTTGTTTAGTTTCGTTGGACTTTTGTTCTCCATCTATAAAGTGTTAGCGCACCTGTTTCACAGGGTTACTTAGGGATTCCGTGAGATAATATATACCTGGCACATGGCAGATTCGCAGCAATAGTTAAGTTTCTTCATCCTCTCCCCTTTTTGGGGGGATCTGAAATGGTCAACACCTGCCTGTGACACCAGATAATAATGCACAGGTTGATGATGGACTACAATGCCCTCTTTCTGAATTATCTCCAAAAGAGCTGAGAGGCAGCCTTTTCTTATCAATGTTAGCTTTTGAAAATGGGCAAGGAAGCTTGCAGTGGGGAGTGGGATCCGGATCGAGGTGGTCATTAAATTCTTCCGTATTGGAAAGTGTAACTGCCAAGAACTTCAAGGTATTGCTTGTCCAGAAACCATATGAACTTTATTGTGAGAATGAAAGAGATTTCCTTTAGGATGACAAGGGTTTAGTTTTTTTGGTTTTTTTAGATTTTTTTTTTTTTTTTTTTTTTTTTTTTTTTTTCTTTAGGCCGCGTCTTCTCGCCACACAGAGAC